ATAATAAAGTTTTCTATGATATTCAAGATGAAAAAGAGAGAGGAAAAACACCCCCTTTTTAAAGAAATCTCCGGGTGAAAAGTCAAATACACCCCCTTTTTTACAATTCTTGGGCCGGATTTGGTCTCGCGAAAAATACCCCTTTACCGGAGATTTTGGGAACACGCATGCGGTCTCTTCGACCTCGGAGTGGAGGGGCCGGGCTTCAGTACATGTATTTCTAGTTGCATTACATGCAATAAAGATTGAATAATAATCATAAACAGTTGCTGTTTCCTTATGCTGACCTATCATCTGCTATGCCAGGCAGTAACATTAACAGTGAATAAAAGTTAACAGGAATCACATTCCTTACTCCCCTCTCGCGGATCGTATCGCCCACAGCATCAAGAACACGGTGAAACGTTTGCCAGCCAAATGACCGTATTTCAGCCGAAACTTTTTCACCTCCTGCGACACAAAATGTGAATTTACGCCGGTAATACACGCGCACGCGTGCATTCGACCATACCCGCGTCCGTTAGTGTACGTGTGTATGTGTTTGTGTGACTGTAAAACCGCGTATTATAGCCGTATAATCATATTTTGTGCTTTGGGGGTGAAAAAGTTGAGGCTGAAAAGCAGCCATTTGTCTGGCAAACTTTTCACCGTACTAATCAGGTCGTAGGCGATACCATTTGGGAGAGGGAGATCACTTATTCCCAAGAGAATATAACCTGATAGGTTATAGATTAAAGTACCATATGAATATATAGACATATCAGATATAGATAGATAGAAATAGATAGAATATCAGATATTGAATGAAAAGATATTATTGGTATTTTATAGGTTTTTCATGATGGTTGATTCTATATGGTACATTGTTACTGCTAGCTACTCAGTACATCATGTACATGGTCCCCCCATGGTCCCTATCCATGGGTAACTTGTAGGAGGGGGAGGACAGGCACACGGTGGGGCGGTGTGGAGTAGGCGGTACCCGGTGTGGTACTGCACGGTAGCGGTGTGTGTGAGGCCGGTGTGCGGTGTATGACTGGGCGGTGTGTATTTTTTTTTAGTGTGTGCAATGCCCTACGTATCT